TAACCTATCAGATGACCCTTAACTTACTGTTGTTGAAAAAAAAATCCCAAATTTATTTTCATTTTTTTCATTTTCAAATAACGTCCACTTTCGGCCATACGGCCAAAAGCGACGTTATTTTTAAGAGGACAGGTTGTAAATTGTTTCTTATGAAATGAAGCTATCCATTTCATTATGTATGAGTTATATTTTTTAATTAATTTTATTTAAAATTAAGGTAGATAAATGTCCTAACCTAACCAACCCTACCTAACCTATCTTAACCTAACCAAATCTAACATAACTTCGTAAATAACATAGAAGGACTGCAGAGGCCCGGAGGAAACCCGCCGTGGGCAAAGCTAGAGCAACCTCTGCCTCTGCAGTAGCACTCACCCACGAGTATGAGGGCGAGCCTTCCCGACCCAGACTGGTCGCATCCTCCATCATCGGGCTCACAGCCACCGACCTTCGTCCTGAAATACTGAAGTCGTAATCATCATCGCATTCGTAGGACAAATACAGCAATTTTTTACTCATCATAATAATACAGCACTTGGAAGGGATATTAGGACAAGGATCTGGGATGGAGGGAAGGATTGGTGCCCAACCAATTTAACCGTCGGGGATCGAACGCAGGCTTGCAGTAAGAGAGGCCGTCGCTGAACTGACCATCCTAAGTGGTTGAGTAAATTATCCCGTAAACCTTTACAATTATCCATTGATAGCTTTGTAGTTTAGTTTTTTTTTCCATGAATGCAAGCCACAATACCTCAGTATATACGTGGTACGTATTTACTGGTAGGTGAACAGGTGCATTAGATCTGGCTAGGGTATCAAACCCCGGACAAACCGGATACAAACAGACTCTATTGACTACTGTTCCAGTTTTCCGGATAATGCCCGTGTTATCCTGTTTATATGCGCCTCTGGTGGCAGGGTTGGGTAAATAGCCACTCCCAAATTATTTTCTCTCTGGGTCTTTGTAGCTCCTTTAATCGTATTTTTCCGTGTGTTGAAATTGAAATCAGTTTATTGAGGTAAAATACACACAAAGGGATGAGGTAGCTCAAGCTATTCTCACCCCCGTTCAGTACATCGTGTTAATACATACATAGACACACATCACAAACAATAAACATATTAGCAAACACTCTGAGAGATAAATATATACATTCCTCCTTTACATAAGTAGTATGGTATCAGACGTGTACACAAATACTTTTATTACCTAGATATACTGAATAGACAATTTATTCAGTGTCTTCTTTCTGTCTTCTTTCGCTCTCATTTTCATTACATTTGGAGTTAAGTTCTGACCTCCATTTGTCCGTCTGTTCCTGGAGATTTAGGGCAGTGAATCTCTAAACGACTAGCATGACAGAAATATAACGGCGGGGATTGATTCAGCATCACTGTAACCAGCTCAGCCAGCGCACTTCGCCTCCCTCCTGAGTACATGTTAATATCGAGCGTGGTTAAGACATCGTGGTTGGCGCACCTCGACCAGTCCCAGTCGTCTGTACCGCATGTGGACCTCTGACGAGGAATACTTAGGTAGAGTCGACCTCATTACCGGGTGAGATGAGCAGTTGTTGTTCTGTATCTAAGGGGGAAAGCCATGTTTACCGGTTCAGGCAACCCTTCCCTCCCCCCACACAACACAACACAACCCAACAACACAACACAACCCAACAACACAACACAACCCAACAACACAACACAACCCAACAACACAACACAACCCAACAACACAACACAACACAACAACACAACCCCCAACACAACCCCCCAACACAACCCCCCAACACAACACAGCACAACACAACACAGCACAACACAACCCCCCAACACAACACAACCCCCCAACACAACACAACAACACAACACAACCCCCCAACACAACACAACACAACAACACAACACAACACAACACAACCCCCCAACACAACACAACCCCCCAACACAACACAACACAACCCCCCAACACAACACAACACAACCCCCCAACACAACACAACACAACCCCCCAACACAACACAGCACAACCCCCCAACACAACACAGCACAACCCCCCAACACAACACTAACCAACCAACCCCACACACACAAGTCCGCAGAGCGTTCCCAGAACCACGACGATATCAAACGGCATAACAGATTAAAATGCCACATTTAAATCAGAGTAAAAATATACAGACATACACATAAGAAAATGCGTGTAATTGACTGATATAGCCATCCGTGAGAGGGCGCTTAGTGGCGCGATAATTCTCAGGGCAGACTGCTTTGTGTACCAGGGCGCGGAGAGTCACGGGCCCCACGGTGCTGACTCTCCTGGAGACTTGATGAAGAGGTCTCGTTTGTCACACCAGCCTCTGATGTCCCGCTTCCTGATGTTGGACGAGAACCCCTTCCTCCTCTCCCTCATACCGCCCCCCCCCCCCATCCCCAACTCTCTGTGCGAATGTTATTTGTGCCTGTATGATCGAGCTGTTAGCTCTTGGGGCCCCATCTTTCTAATCATTGATTGTCTAATGTACTGAATTCCAAACTATTTTCTCTTTCTCTTGTATGGTCACGCGCGACGCACGCACGCACGCACGTACACATGCACGAACACATGCACGCACACATGCACGCACACATGCACGCACACATGCACGCACACATGCACGTGCATGCACACATGCACGTACGCATGCACGCACCCTTCCGCGCACGCACGCGCGCACATAGAGACCCTTAGTGTGGGGGTGACCATGAGACACATCAAATGTACGAGTGGGCGTTTTTCACCGGGTGCAACAAGCTCGTATATATGCTCTTCATGCCGGGCTGACTAATGCACTCTAAGTGTTGATACTTCCAGTTAAATTATTTACTCCTGCCGTGCGTGCGTGCAAACGCGTGTGTTGGTTGTTGGGCTCCTTCATTGAATTATTAGTCATATACAATGACAACCCTCCGCACCCACGCTTTTCCTGCATAAAGCTTATTGAACTCTTTAAAAACATTAAGATCCTTGAAATAATCGTAAACATTGAATAGCAAAAGGGCTAGTGGAAATATCTGTTGGTGTGAAGTACACGAAGTACTCGAACCCATTGTTGATGTGACGACGTGTATTGAATTTTGTAACTAGCTCATCAAGATTGTAACTTGCTTAGCTAAATGAATTGTGGGATTCAGTCCCTGAGTCCATTATGTGCCTCTGTAACCCTTTCCACTACCGCCCACAAGATGGGTATGGGGTGCATAATAAATGAACTAAACTAACTGAAGTACAAAAATAAAATGGGAAAACGCTATGCTTCTACCATAATACAGAATACAGCTGCGAGTATCGCTACACAATAGCTAGGAGTATCGCTACAGAGTGGAGAGATTAACTTGATCTCAGCCGTTCGTTGTTACATGCAAGGTCCTTCGCACCGGCATAGAGGCCTTGTCTCATCTCAATCCATTATTTCTAAGTTTAATTTTGTCCCTTAACCGCTGGGGGAATTCAGGTCAAATCTACATATTTCAAAGGCCTTTTTTCTGTGTTTGCGGGACGCTGCATGTATTGCTTTGAGCTTGTCACTAAAATGGCCAACTATTTCAAGTTATCTTCATAGGCCTATCGTTAACAAACACACGAATTTTTGCAACAAAGGTTTTGTTAAGTGAATTTTGCATATCTTCAACCTGCATGCCAGTCGTAATTAACATTCGTGAGGTAATTCATGGCGGTTCGCTCATCGGTTATATTATTTATCAGAGTACGGGGTTCTTAACCATTTTCACGATTATAGAATCCCAGTGGATTAATGGAATCCCAATCTGTACCAACGTCACCTTGGCTAGATTGCTGAAATGACCACCACCATTACCAGTATAACTATAAAACATGTCAACAGCTTGGTTTTACATCAAATAAGCATTGATAGGAGCAGAATATCCGAAATAAATTAAAAACTGATTTGATCAATTATACAGAAACAGCAAATCACGAATTCACAACTAGTTACAACGAATGATATTTTCGTAAAGTTGTTCCGATATCAAATCCTATGCACCAGATACTTGGCTCTCGAGCCCACAAGGGGTTATGGACACCCACTGTGTTAGGACCTCCTGTGTTAGGACCTCCTGTGTTAGGACACCCCCCCCCGTGTTAGGACACACCCACGTGTTATGACACCCCCCCGTATTAGGACACACCCACGTGTTAGGACACCCCCCCCCGTGTTAGGACACCCCCCCCCCCGTGTTAGGACACCCCCCCGTGTTAGGACCCCCCCCCCCCCGTGTTAGGACACCCCCCCCCGTGTTTAGACCTCCCCCCCCCCCCAGATGGACTTATGTTCATATAGTATGTGTAGTGAACCTTAACACAAGTATCTGTATTTCGCGGAATAAAAGGTTTATAAAGTTAAATTGCATACGGCAAATATTTGATTGAATACGGATCACTGATCCATCTCGAGTTGCATAATCCACGACGGATCAATTTGCTTGCGACATAAAATCCAACGGTGCATTCCAGCCTAAGGTCAGTTTTACGACATTTACAACCTTAGGCGAATTTAAGACTTTTTAGTTTATATCAGACTTGTTGAAGACGATTAAATAATAATTTTTTTTCCGGCAAGGGATACGACTCCGACCGGTTTTGGCAAATAATAATAATGGCCAGTGTGTGACCTGAATGTTAAGGGGCTGACTTATTGGTATGCACGACATGTGCCGCTCCTTGACTGTTGTACGCCCACACTGCTCGCTTCTTGGGTGTAGTACGCCCCCACACTGCTCGCCTCTTGGGGTGTAGTACGCCCCCCCCACTGCTCGCCTCTTGGGTGTAGTACGCCCCCCACACTGCTCGCCTCTTGGGTGTAGTACGCCCCCCACACTGCTCGCCTCTTGGGTGTAGTACGCCCCCACACTGCTCGCTTCATGGGTGTAGTACGCCCCCACACTGCTGGCCTCTTGGTGTAGTACGCCCCCACACTGCTCGACTCTTGGGTGTAGGACGCCCATCACTGCTCGCCTCTTTGGTGTAGTACGCCCCCACACTGCTCGCCTCTTGGGTGTAGTACGCCCCCACACTGCTCGCCTCTTTGGTGTAGTACGCCCCCACACTGCTCGCCACTTGGGTGTAGTACGCCCCCACACTGCTCGCCTCTTGGGTGTAGAACGCCCCGACACTGCTCGCCTCTTGGGTGTAGTACGCCCCCACACTGCACGCCTCTTGGGTGTAGGACCCCCCACACTGCTCGCCTCTTGGGTGTAGTACGCCCGCACACTGCTCGCCTCTTGGGTGTAGTACGCCCCCACACTGCTCGCCTCTTGGGTGTAGGACGCCCCCACACTGCTCGCCTCTTGGGTGTAGGACGCCCCCACACTGCTCGCCTCTTGGGTGTAGGACGCCCCCACACTGCTCGCCTCTTGGGTGTAGGACGCCCCCACACTGCTCGCCTCTTGGGTGTAGTACGCCCCCACACTGCTCGCCTCTTGGGTGTAGTACGCCCCCACACTGCTCGCCTCTTGGGTGTAGTACGGCCCCACACTGCTCGCCTCTTGGGTGTAGTACGCCCCCCCACACTGCTCGCCTCTTGGGTGTAGTACGCCCCCACACTGCTCGCCTCTTGGGTGTAGTACGCCCCCACACTGCTCGCCTCTTGGGTGTAGTACGCCCCCACACTGCTCGCCTCTTGGGTGTAGTACGGCCCCACACTGCTCGCCTTTTGGGTGTAGTACGGCCCCACACTGCTCGCCTTTTGGGTGTAGTACGGCCCCACACTGCTCGCCTTTTGGGTGTAGTACGGCCCCACACTGCTCGATTCTTGGGTGTAGTACGGCCCCACACTGCTCGCCTCTTGGGTGTAGTACGGCCCCACACTGCTCGCCTCTTGGGTGTAGTACGGCCCCACACTGCTCGATTCTTGGGTGTAGTACGGCCCCACACTGCTCGATTCTTGGGTGTAGTACGGCCCCACACTGCTCGCCTCTTGGGTGTAGTACGGCCCCACACTGCTCGATTCTTGGGTGTAGTACGGCCCCCACACTGCTCGATTCTTGGGTGTAGTACGGCCCCACACTGCTCGATTCTTGGGTGTAGTACGCCCCACACTGCTCGATTCTTGGGTGTAGTACGCCCCACACTGCTCGCCTCTTGGGTGTAGTACGGCCCCACACTGCTCGCCTCTTGGGTGTAGTACGGCCCCACACTGCTCGATTCTTGGGTGTAGTACGCCCCACACTGCTCGCCTCTTGGGTGTAGTACGCCCCCACACTGCTCGCCTCTTGGGTGCTAGCCATTCAGGTTTGTTCGCATTTGTGTTCCTCGCGTGTGCCCCCAAAAATGAGGCGATATGATAAAATACCATGCCCAAGATTACCATCAGAGCTCCATCGGCAGGATATGCAAATAGCCTCGGCTACCATCATCTTTTGTATGGTCGTGATTGTCGAGCGGTTAAGGTCTCCTGTACACCAGTTGCATAGTGCTCCTGGCAGTATGGGTTCGAGTCACTTCTGGGGTGTGGAGTTTTCGGTTGCATATATGCCTGAGTACCATTCAGGCTTGTTTGTGTGTGTGTGTGTGTGTGTGTGTGTATGTGTGTACGTATGTATGTATGTATGTATGTATATGTATGTGTATATATATATATATATATATATATATATATATATATATATATATATATATATATATATATGTGGTACCTAGTAGCCAGAACTCACTTCTCAGCCTACTATGCATGGCCCGATTTGCCTAACAAGCCAAGTTTTCCTGAATTAATATATTTTCTCTAAATTTTTTCTTATGAAATGATAAAGCTACCCATTTCATAATGTATGAGGTCAATTTTTGTTCATTGAGTTAAAATTAACGTAGATATATGACCGAACCTAACCAACCCTACCTAACCTAACCTATCTCTATAGGTTAGGTTGGGTTATGTAGCCGAAAAAGTTATGTTAGGTTAGGTAGATTAGGTAGTCGAAAAACAATTAATTCATGAAAACTTGGCTTATTAGGCAAATCGGGCCTTGCTTAGTAGGCTGAGAAGTGAGTTCTGGCTACTAGGTACGACATATATATATATATATATATATATATATATATATATATATATATATATATATATATATATATATATATATATATTGTGACGATAATCTCCTTCAAGAGATTGAGCCTGCTCTTCCCTCCAAAAATACGTCACTACAAATATATAAAACTACTATGAAAGAAATGTCCAACAACGACATCATCATCTCCAAGGTTTGCCAGAGCGCAAAACGCATGCAGCCAGGGACACCTGCTCAGCCTCAAACCGCCAAACTACCTGTCTTGTTGCCGGCTACTCGCTGATTGGCCGCCGGTCTGGCTGCAACTGCACTGCACCCCCCCATACTACTTGATGTCTGGGGCCGCCACGACCTCAGTCCTCAGAATATTCAGTGCTTTCATACGGTTAACACTTCTTCCTGGTAGACTGAGCTTTGGCTTAAGTGTACTAAGAGAGGTGATAGCTTAAAGCCAATATTCCTGCACCTCTCATTTTATTGCATATTGCACAGCTTGTTATTGCTCACTTGTCTTAACGTAACTTTTCATTTTGCCATTTAATTATTCTTATTATTTTGATTGATTAATTTTATTATACGAATTTGTATGTCCATTTTATTCATGTTTTGTTTATCTAACGTAATTAAAATTTCATTGTTAAAATTTACTTGTGTTTTGTGTGTCTTCTCCTTACCTTACCACAGACGAAGTTCCAGATTTTCTATTTTTTTTTTATTCTATGTGATGAGGCCATACCCCTAGCTTTGAACAGCCGAACACCAACGCGTTACCGTCACAATATATATATATATATATATATATATATATATATATATATATATATATATATATATATATATATATATATATATATATATATATATATATATATATATTATTTTTGTTTATTGAGCTGTTCTAAGCTCTACAACCTGTGACAACTAACTTTGTATACCTTGTATGTAACCAATGTTGTAACGTATATTGTGTAATGAAATTTGCAACAAAATAAATTAACTATACAATATATATGGGGATGGCAGGAGAAGATAATGCAAGTTTTTTTTTTTTTTTTTATTTTTTTTTTTTTCTACCACAGACGTGGCCACACATTTACAATGCTAACCAGCATATATACATTTTCTTCTGTCCTCCATGGACAGGGTTAGAGAAATGTTAAACGTAGAGTTCAGGGGTTAATTGAACACTCAACCACAGAAGGTGATTCGGTGCTTTTAAAATGTTAAGCTAACCTACATACGTAAATACATAGATACACAGATTTACGTAAGCCCTACATAAAGTGTTTGATGTGTCTTTTACATAGTGTCATTAATGTACATTCACAAAGGTGAAATGTAATTCTGATCAGCTTCCATATATACTTTATACCCATACATATACATACATATACACACACATGCATTCACATACATCTGTCTCATTTACTCTGACAGGGTGAGATAGCTGATAAAGAAACTAGTGTGCAATTAAGCACTTAATCACTGAAGGTGATGAAGGTGCTTTTACAAGCTCAGGTTATATAGTTACATCATATAACATTGAGTAAATGATATATTGAATATAACATTGAATAAGTGATATATTACATGGTCAATCTTGGATACAAGTCCAATATATCATCAAGTGTTCCGGTACTCATATAGTAACTACAGAGTTCAGCATACCTTAGCCCAGGAGGGCGAATAATGCAAGCGCACGCGGGTGCCCCACAAGGCTCCTCCGGATGCTGCATCTCCTCCTCCTTCAAGGCCGATTGCTACCAACTGGAATCACCTGTCACCATTTATGAACACAATCACTTGTGGATCATTTTTAACGATCTACAGGCATCTGTGATCACCTGAAGTAGTGTTTTAATATCCAATTAGTACCGACAATCACTTTCATTTGAGGTTGTTAAGGGTCAACCGTTTACCTCGGCTGTCAATGTCACCAATACCTCAGCTTGTTTTCCCTTGTATTAAATATTAAAATATAATATAGTATATTAAATATAGAATATTAAACTTCCCTGTTAGGCTGCAAAATATTTTGTTTCATGTATCGTTCTGGATTTTTTTAATTTAGAATGAATACAGTTGTTCTGTTATACGTCTGCCTGTTGTCATACGTCTGCCTGTTGTCATACGTTTGCCTGTTGTCATACGTCTGCCTGTTGTCATACGTCTGCCTGTTGTCATACGTCTGCCTGTTGTCATACGTCTGCCTGTTGTCATACGTTTGCCTGTTGTCATACGTTTGCCTGTTGTCATACGTTTGCCTGTTGTCATGTCTCTCATTCACCCTCGTTTGTTTAATTAAACTCAGTTTTGCAGCTTGTGACAATTCTGAACCTCGTCCCATCGGCATTAATCACTGCATTTAAATTGATTCTACGATATTGTGCTGGGAAATGCAGTTTATAAGGGTTAACTCGGCGATCAATAACCACCAGAAAGGCTTTATTATGCACTAGCATTTTAATTTAAAAGGAAGAAAAACATTGACTATGTTAATGCTTACATGCATTATTGTTGAAGAAATTGCGCACACAACTAATATATCAATGATACTTTTGTGTACATTATCAAGCTGTCACAATATGGAAACATTCAATCGTTCTTTGCATATTTAAAATCAAACCATAGAATATTCCAATATAAATATAATGTCAATATCATTAAAATATAAATACAAAAATTAAATTAAATTAAAATATTTGAGTCCAAAACTCGAAGCAAAATTGTCGAATGAACTTTAATACAAAGGAATTCAGCCATACACAAACACAGCTACACACAAGTTAGGGAACACAGGTGGAAACAGAGTACCCAAATTAGTCATAGAGGCATTAGAAAGAACTTTTTTGTAATGTCAGTATAGTTAATAAATGGAATTCATTAGGAAGTGATGTGGTGGAGGCAGACATCATACACAGTTTCAGATGTAGATACGATAGAGCTCAAAAGGCTCAGAAATCTGTACACAAAGTTGATTGGTTGGCAGTTGAGAGGCGGGACCAAAGTGCCAAAACTCAACCCCTGCAAGCACAACCAAGTGAGTACAACTAGGCGAAGACATCGAAAACCATACTGTCATTATATAAATTTTCTCCAGGTGTTCTTCCCATTCGGTTTTAAATATTTTGTTTCAGTATTTTGACTATTAAACTTGTCAATGATACAGATCTATATACAGATCTATATTGATCTATACAGATCAATTAGAAAAATCAATTGGGTCTTCCTACTGCCACTTTTGTAGATTGGAACTGTTAGGTTGTTTACATATATCTGCCAAGGCACATGTACACAGAGGTGCTCGAAAAATCAATTAAAGTGGTTTTTCAGAAAGCCTGGAAAATAAGGAATTTAATAGTGTACGTTTATAGAATTGTATATATTTCGTTCATCTCAAAAAATGTTTATTCCATTGACTTCAGCGTAGGTATAAACCAACTATATTATATCATGACACGCTATACAATACCACTTATTAATTTAAACCTAACTTCACTCCCTCTTTCCCTCCCTCTTACCCTCCCTCCCCCCTCTTACCCTCCCTCCCTCCCCCCTCTTACCCTCCCTCCCTCCCCCCTCTTACCCTCCCTCCCTCCCCCCTCTTACCCACCCTTACCTTCATTCTGAAATGCTCCGATGAAGGCACATTGAGCCGAAAACGCGTTTAGCATTCTCTATTTTTCACGTGTGTTTTTTTTCGCGCATGTATGCGTAGTTACAGCCCCGCTCTTCTACAAGGTAAGTCCGCTACTCTGAACTTTGTGTTCCTAGTAGCTGAATCTAAAACAACCACCACGACCTAGTCTCATCCCAATCGACGAGATAATGGTCCAGCTCAGACCAAAACCTCGTCGTCTCCTCATTTTCTGGTGTGTGGGGTTTAGTCTTCATATCTTAGCCACGTTATTGTGGCTCATCGTCTGCATATCAAGCCACCACTACAACCATCCACCAGCTGTGACGGCCCATCTGTACACCCTGAGGGCAAGGCCGGAGGATGGGTCAGCTAGCCAGCCAGCCGCTCCCTGACATGGCCCCGGAGGAAATGATGGGGTGTGGGGGGGCCTGACCCCGTCCCCTCCTGTACATCATTAACAACAGCAGCAGCAGCATTCCCCCCCTCCCCCACCCCCACCCCTGTCCTACAGATGTTGTTCTTAGCGGTGATATGTTCCCTCGTTATTTTCTCCCTAATATAAAATGCATTGCAAATTGCAATTACTTCCTATCACCTTGAAAATTTGTTTCCAATTTGCTCTTGTTTACTCCCCAAGCCCATTGTGCCGGT